GTGGCAGTCACTCGAGGTGGACAGAGGAGTGGCAGTCACGCGAGGTGGACAGAGGAGTGGCAGTCACGCGAGGTGGACAGAGGAGTGGCAGTCACAAGAGGTGGACAGAGGAGTGGCAGTCACGTGCCATGGACAGAGGAGTGGCAGTCACAAGAGGTGGACAGAGGAGTGGCAGTCACACGCCGTGGACAGAGGAGCGGCACTCACGTGCCGTGGACAGAGGAGTGGCACTCACATGCCGTGGACAGAGGAGTGGCAGTCACACGCCACTCACGCTGCGGGGTGAGCCGCCCTCCCGAGCATCCACCTGCCCGCGAGACGAGGCAGGAAGAACAGACGTTAGTAGTGTGGGCCGCACTCAAGGCTGAGCCTGCGGGACACAGAGACGACATTTGAGCCTACGTGTGTGCGCATGGAGTCGCAAAGAGATGCGGCGCTCTCCGTGGGCCACACGGCAGGAAGTGCCGGGTCCACGCTGACTTGTCCGCCCCAGAGCCGGAGCTCAGAATCGCCGTCTCCTCCCGCCTCTCCCCAGTGCCCGCGCTCCTGTCGCTGACTCTCCCGGACAACCCGAGGGGCAGCTGGTCGGAGGCAGGGAAGACGGGCTTGCTGAGCACGAGGCAGGCGTGGGGGCAGGGAGCGCAGAGAGGGCGTGGGGATCGCGCCGCACGAAGAGCCCCCGACCTGCGACTCGGGGTGCGATTTCCCTGGGGGTTGGGGGCTGCAGGCTCCAGGTGGAATGTCTGCAAAGAGTCCTGGGGGCTGTGTTCCAGCCTGAACCTCCCTTGGCACAAACCCTCGGAATGCCATTTTAAGCAGGTTTTACATGTGCCTAATACTCAGTTTTTGTTTTCTTATTTCAGCATATTATGGGGGTACAAATGTTAAGGTTATGTATACTGCCCGTGCTCCCCCCCAAATGTTGCGTGTCCATCCCCCAAATGTTGCACATCTCACTCATTATGTGTGTATGTACCCATCCCCTCCTCCCCCTCCTGCCCGACACCCGACGAATGTTACTCCTATATGTCCACTGAGGTGTTGATCTGTTAATACCAGTTTGCTGGTGAGTGCACGTGGTGCTTGTTGTTCCATGCTTGGGATACTTCGCTCAGTAGAATGGGTTCCGGCTGTATCCAAGAAAATACAAGAGATGCTGGATCACCGTTGTTTCTTAAAGCTGAGTAGTACTCCATGGTATACACATACCACATTTTATTAATCCACTCATGTATTGATGGGCACTTGGGTTGTTTCCACGTCTTTGCAATTGTGAATTGTGCTGCTGGAGCAAAAAAAAAATTTTTTTTTAGCCGATACCCGGGCGTCGGAGGTTTTATGCTTTTTCCTCTCTTAAAATGTACATTTTGAAAACTGGAAATGCCCTCGTGTTTTGAAATCGAGCTCAGCAGTGGAGCAGTGACAAGTGTCGACTGGTCCCATTATTAGCCATTGACACCTTGTGGCTGCTTGGAGAACTGCAGGACCAAACCTGCGGGGCAGAAGCCAGGTCTCCTTCCAGACGTGAAAACCTGGGTGGGTCCGACCCGGCTCCACCCTCCGTGGTACTCAGGCCACTGCGAGGCTCTGCAGCCCCGGCTCCTGGGCAGCCGCTGTCCTCCGTGGCTGGGGCTCTCCTGGGACCCACCTCTGTCCTCCCGATGGCCTTAGGTGTGTCCCTCCCGCTACCTGGGACAATGTCCTCACCTGTAGAGGTGAGTGAGCCGGGCGCGCCCTCTAGGAAAGGTGTGGATTCCTTCGTTCGCTGATCCGCTCATCCAGTGAACAGGTGTTTCTCAGGAAACGCAGCTACGGCGATGGACAAGGCCCATCCCAGAGCGTGGGGAGGACTGGATCAGGCCCCTGTGGCTCTGTGAGGTGCCCCCCAGCCCCAAGGCAGCAGCAACGACACGCAGGTGACAGGTGTGGCAACAGGTGAGCTCTCTCAGGTGAGACGTGCTCGCTTTCCAGTTACTGACTGCACGCCATCTGTTGGGGGGTGCACAGGCTTTATCCTCCGAACCTCAACCTCCCCAAATCCAGCGTGTGCATTCAGACGGTGCCCTTCACGACCCCGGTAGGCCAGGCGGCCATCACTAACCGTGCCTGTGCGCGCTTGGGCGGTGGCGCTAATTCCCAGGGGGCATTAAAGCCCCTCCGAGTGGCTGGGCGCGGTGGCTCACACCTGTAACCCTAGCACTCTGGGAGGCCGAGGCGGGAGGATAGCTCGAGGTCAGGAGTTTGAAACCAGCCTGAGCAAGAGCAAGACCCCGTCTCTACTATAAATAGAGAGAAATTAATTGGCCAACTAATATATATAGAAAAAATCAGCCGGGCATGGTGGTGCATGCCTGTAGTCCCAGTTACTTGGGAGGCTGAGGCAGGAGGATCGCTTGAGCCCCAGGCATTTGAGGTTGCTGTGAGCGAGGCTGATGTCATGGCACTCACTCCAGCCTGGGCAACAGAGCGAGACTCTGTCTCAAAACAAACAAACCAACCAACCAAAAAAAACACTGATACCTGGTCTCCACGCCCAATCAATTAAAGAAGACCCAGGGGAGAGGGGGCGGGGCAAGCATCTGTGTCTTTCTTAAGTGCCGCCCCGGCGTTCTGGCGGAAGGGCCCGGAGTGGCGCCCAGTCCCTGGGCCTTGTCCATGCTCCTCCAGCGGTTCTACTGCGCGGCCAGGCCGAGACTTCTCTGACCACCTGGAGGCAGCGTTATTCCTCCTGCCCCTCCTAAGGCGACGGGTGTCCACCATGCCTGCAGGTGGGAACCGTCCAGAGAACTCCGGCAGAGCCACGCCCCAGACCAGTCCATCGCAACACCCGGGCTGGGGACCGGGCGTCGGCCACTGTGATCCGTCCCCAGGGTGACGCCAGCGCACAGCCCCGAGTGGAGCCGCCTCCCCGCCCCGCCCTGCAGTGCTCTGAGGGAAACGCCGGCCCTTGAGCAAGGTCGCCCTGCTGGGGCTGAAGCCGCGCCGTCTAACGCACGGCAGGAACTCAGGGAAGAACACGCGCGAGCGAGCAAGCAGGGGGAAGAGCATGCAGTGTCTGGAGCTTCCTAGTCGCGGGGGTGCCCCGGCGGAGGTCGGGTGGAGTCCTGCCTGCCTGGGTCCGGTCTGAGGCAGACACACACGCAGGCTGCTTTCCAAGAGGGGAGGGGAGCCTGTAGTTCCCAGGCCCGGCCACCGCTCGCGGCTACCCGAGGTTGGCGTCTCGGCGCACTGCGCAGAGCTGCGGGGGAGATGGTGGTGCCAGGAACGCAGGGTGGCTCCGGTGGCTTTACCACGCAGACGTCACGGAACAGCTTTGCATGGCGCCTTTAAACACTGAGCTTTAAAACATGGCACGCAGCCCTTGCACGGCACCTGCCGTGCAGGGTCTAAGTGGAGGAGGCCGAGCCCTCCGGAATGTGGTTACGACAACGGGCCGCTGTTCGTCATTTTCAAATGCTATTTATTCCCCCAACCGCGGGTCGCGGGACTCCCACCAGGAACGCAGTCAGCCCAATCCAGCCTTTGCTCTTTCTCACATAGCTGGCAGAGAGCTGCACCTTACTTCAAAACAGCCTGAGGCATGACCGAGGTTAAAGTTCTTTCAAAGCTACACTGGGGGACAAGCGGGGCGCGAGAGGACACACGTGCGCTGGTGTGTCACTGCGTGTTCAGGCTCGTGCATGGCTCCACGGCCCGGGTGTCCCCGGCCAGCGGTCTGTGCAGGTCCAGCATGGTGGGCGAGTCGCCCCTGGGGTTCCCGGTGACCAGCATCCAGTGGTTCCTCGGCTTCTCCACGCGGTGGGGGTCCAGGTGCGTGTGGGCTGCCACCTCTGCCTCCTTCCCAAAGTAGGTTCTGGGGCAGGAGAGAGGGGCCTGGTTTGAGACCGCACAGCAGCCCTGGGAAAGCGGTCAGGTCACCACGGAAGCACGGGGAGAGGCTGGGCGTGGCGGCTCACGCCTGCAGTCCCGGCACTCTGGGAGGCTGAGGCGGGAGGATCGCTCCAGGTCAGGAGTTCGAGACCAGCCTGAGCAAGAGCGAGACCCTATCTCTACTAAAAATAGAAAGAAATTAGCTGGACAACTAAAAATACATAGAAAAAATTAGCCGGGCATGGTGGCGCATGCCTGTAGTCCCAGCTACTCGGGAGGCTGAGGCAGGAGGATCGCTTGAGCCCAGAAGTGTGAGGTTGCTGTGAGCTAGGCTGACACCACAGCACTCACTCTAGCCTGGGCAACAAAGAGAGACTCTGTCTCAAAAAAACAAAAACAAAAAAAAGCAGGGGAGAAGCAGGCTGCCATGGAGAGCCGTGGGGAGCTCGGAATGGCTAACGCAAGTCCCAACACCTCACTGTCTACAGCGGGGCATGTTCACGGGACAGTTTGGGGCCGTTCGGGCAAAGACCAGGCAGGTGGGTCCCGCTCCCGCCACCGGCCCCTGCAGGGGAAGGAGGGACCGTGTCACAGACGGGGATCTGGCAGGTTTCCACGGTCACGCGTGGCAATACGTCCTCAGCGAAGGACGTCCCGTGTGTGGCCACACGCTCCAGCTCCTCTGCATGCACGGGCGGCCCCAGCCCCGTGCCCGGCCCCGAGTGGCGCCTGCACACGGTACCTGAGGAAGAGGTGGCGGTGCGCGGCCAGCCTGCGGTTGGTGTGGCTGTGAGTGATGATGACCCGGGCGTTGGCCTTTGCGGATAAAGAAAAGGTGCGGTTAGCGTTCTGGGGCAAGGCCTCCAACCTCCTAAAGCAAACATGCGGAAGTGTGCTCTGTATTGATTTCAATTTAGTGAAAATAAATATATATACATATATATACACGCATATGTATTCATGGTCACGCACGATATAACAGTGGTTCAGTCCACAAAGAACCACATATATGAACGTAAGATTGCAATATTGTATTTTTACTGTGCCTGTTCCACGTGTAGACACGCAAACGCTCGCCGCTGTGTTACAGCTGCCTGGGTGTCCAGGGCAGTTACATGCCGCGCAGGCTCGTGGCCCGGGAGCAGCAGGTGCTCCACCTAGCCTAGGTGTGTGGTGGGCTACACACTCTGGGTTTATGCAGGTTACTCTGTGATGTTTGCACAAGGGCAAAATCACCTGATGGCTCATTTCTCAGAATGTGGCCCCATTGTTAAGTGACTCGTGACTATACACACCTGTAAATTCACACACATACACACACGGGATAATTTAGAAGTCAAACCGTATGGATTGATTGAACACATTATTGTAGACATCTCTATGACAAAGCAATCATTCAAAGTCATGTTGGAAAAGATCTTTGAGAACAAGAGATAGGGTTAGCAGTGTTATTAAATGAAAAAAATAAATGTCTTAATGACGTCCTATCTTGTAAAAGACAGATGTATAAATTCTCATAGAGAAAGAAATGATAAACAGTGATGGCTCTCTCTGGAAGTGAAACTACTGGTAACTTTCTTGTTATGTTTGTGCTTTCTTTACTTTTCATAGGTAAACATATGTTTATAATTTGAAAAAAAAATATATATATATATTGTTTCAAAATCCTGTGGCCTGACATGGTCGCTCACGCCTGTAGTCCCAGCACTTTGGGAGGCCAAGGCAGGAGGATCACTTGAGGCCAGGAGTTTGAGATGACAAACTGAGCAACACAGTGAGACCCCGTATCTACAGGGGAAAAAATTTTAATTAGTCGAGTGTGGTGCCGTGCGCCTGTAGTCCCAGCTATTCGGGGGGCCGATGCAGAGGGATCACTGGAGCCCAGGAGTTCGAGGCTGCGGCGAGCTCCGACTGAGCCACTGCGCTCCAGCCTGGGTGACAGAGCGAGACCCTGTCTCTAAGAAAATGTTAAAAATAAAAAAAATGTGAAAGATATTTCAGATTCCTGACTCATGTAAGCTGCTATGAAAGCTGTGTAAGAAAGAAAAAGCAGTCCCGACACACAGGGCTCGGCCCGGCACCCTCGGCTGTGCCTTAGCAAGGCCCCTGGGGGCAGAATCCATGTCAAAGAGTGTCTGAGTCAGGCGAGGCCGCTCCATAATCATATCTGAACACGGACAAAACTCAGCATTGCCAGGTCACAAAACGCCCAACGTCCTCCTCTCCGGGCCAATGGGAGTGGCTGCTGCTGCTGCTTTTTTTTTTGTTTGTTTGTTTGAGAATAAGGGAAAGGCTCCAATCATCACGTACAATTTCAATAAGAACCATGACAATCCTAAGTAGATTTTAAAGAAAAGTTGCTTAACATTAACTACATGGAGAGTTTTTCTTTTCCTTTTTACTTTTCTTTTCTTTTTTTTGAGACAGAGTCTCAGTCTGTTGCCCGGGCTAGAGCGAGTGCCGTGGCGTCAGCTCACTGCAACCTCCTGGGCTCGAGTGGTCCTCCTGCCTCAGCCTCCCGAGTAGCGGGGACTACAAACATGCACCGCCACGTCTGGCTAATTATATTTTTAGTTGTCTAGTTAATTTCTTTCTATTTTTTCAGTAGAGACAGGGTCTTGCTCTCGGTCAGGCTGGTCTCCAACTCCTGATCTCCAGCGATCCTCCCGCCTCAGAGTGCCGGGATTACAGGCGTGAGCCACCGCGCCCGGCCCACGTGGAGAATGGAGAGTTTTTCTAATTGAAAAACCTTAAAGTCACTCGGGACCTGCTTCTTTACTAAGGACAGCTTCATCCTGGCTCCCGTCGGCCCTCCCTGGGGATAAGGTCTCCCGAGAGAGATGTCTGATCATGGAATCAGCCCTGCTTCCTGACAGCCTCCAATCCGGAGCGCAGCCCCCCTTCCTGGGACTCTCCCCAAACCGCCCGACCAAGGCCGAAACCCTGAAGCCTCCTGTCTGGCACCCGCTCACGGGCTGCCCCGAGCTTCCCCGGGGTGGCCCCCTCAGGACGAAGCGAATCCTCAACTGCAGGAGCTCCGGTGGCTCCGCCTGGGGGGCGCTGGCGGGCAAGGCGGCTCCGACAGGGGGGGCGTCCCGGCCTCGAGCACGGGGAACCTGTCTGAAGGAGGCTCCGAGACCTGCCTCAGGAGGTAAGGTGAGTTAGCAGCGGGGGAAGAAGTCGGGTGCCTGGGACGCTGGCTGGGACTCGGTGCTCTTGTAGCAAGTCTCGGGAGGACAGCAGCCGCGTAACCGCAGGGACAGTGGCGGCGACAGTCGGCACAATCCGTGAGCGCCTTCCGTGAGCCGGGCGCTTTCTACCGAGCACTCGACACGCGCCAAGCATTCAGTGTCCGCAAAACCTCACGAGGCGGGGACTGTCACCGTCCCTCATTTACAGATGGGGAAACCGAGGCATTGACATCTTAAGTCCTGGGAACAGAGGGGGGATCCCCAGGAGCGAGAAGCTTGCCCGAGGCCGGCTGAAGGGACGGGGGCGCAGAGCCCGATCCACTGTGGATCACGGGCTCGCCCTCCCTGCTCGGGGAAAGAACCGCGTGAAGCTGGGGTCCCCGGGCAGAGCCGGAGGGACGGGCGTGCAGTGTTGGCGGACTCGAGAGTGGCCTGTGACTGTGGCCGAGCCCCGGACAGTGGGCAGTGCCAGGGACGGCCGCGCAGCCCGCCAGCCCTGCACGCCCCTGCCAGCGCCGCACCTTGCCCTGACTCCGAGCGCACCCTGGTCCCGGCGAGCAGGACGGCCTCTGCCCCTCCCAGCTGACCCTCAGCCGCCCGCCGGGACTCCAGGGCTCAGACGCCTGTGGGGGGGGGCGGTCCCGAGAACGTGCCCAGCCATGACGAGGAGAGTGACCCTGCCCTGCGGGACCACTGTGCCGCCTGCGAGCTGCCCGCTGTCGCCTGGGCTTCCCCCAACACTTCCCGATTCCCCTGAAAATCAGCGTTTAACAGAAGCCTGAAAGGAAACAGGGTCGAGGAAGCGGGTCGCAATCCTCCCCACCTCCCGCGGTGGTGCCCAGGGCCCAGCGACCCTCCCGCGCAGGCGGGCCTGAGACTCCTTTGCAGGACCCGCCCAGAGCAGGGTGGCGCCCTCCCCGGCCAGGCGGGAGTGAACCCCGGCCTGCATTCCACAGCGTCCACGCCCTGTCCCCCAGCTCACCGGGACGGGGCAGCCCTCGCTCTCCAGGCGCAGCTGCGGGTCGGGCAAGGCGGCCTGCCAGCAGCTCCTGTAGGAGACCTCGTCCGTCAGGTACACCTCCTGCAGCCAGGACCTCTGCGCCGACTTCAGGAAGGTCCTGTGGTCGCTGGACAGGTACAGCTGCAATGACAGAAGCCAGTGGGGCCAGGCAGAGCCGTTCGGGGCGGTGGGGAGATGAGCGCTCGGCCGGCGGACGGGAGCTCACGCGCAACTTCAAAACCGGGTCTTGCCGATTGTCTTAGAAAGCTCACTTCCCTCTGCCTTAGAAACGCTGTCTCAGAACGCAGAGACCAACACGTGTGTGCACGCACACGCACACACACGGACACAGCACACATGCATGCACACATGTGCACGCACATGAGCGCACATGCACACATGTGCGCACACATGCACACACTTACACATGCATGCACACACGTGCACACAGGTGCACACAGGCACAGGCACGTACATGCACACACACGGACACAGCACACATGCATGCACACATGTGCACGCACATGAGCGCACATGCACACACTTACACATGCATGCACACACATGTGCACACAGGTGCACACATGCACAGGCACGCACATGCACACACACACGTGAAAACACACACCTCAAACTACTTTTCCTCCCTCTGAACGCCAAACTCAGTCTTTCTGTCTCTGTCCCACCCGTGTCCCCTGCTCCCCTCTTCCTCTTTTTCAGGGCAAAGGACTTGGATGGATGTCTCGTCTCTTTTCAATGATGCTACATGAAGCTCGTATGAACAGCACTATGCTGTTCCAAGCGGCGCCACCACAGCTCCCCGGGGACCACACTTCTCCGAAGCCGGCGCCTCGCTGGGGATTTACGCAGCTGCGGGGCTCCCGTGACCTGGCCACACCCACCCACCCGCTGACTGGTCCGGGACGGCAGTGCCTTGCCGGCTCTGCACGGGTGCACCTGGGCCTGCGCGTGCAGGTGGTGTCTGCACGTTCTGACCGGTTCCCAACGACCTCCTTTCACGCGCAAGGCAGTGCGTGAGCCGCGGTGGGGAAGGCGGACGTAAGTCCCCGTCCCTGAGCGGCCCCCGCCTGGCAGAGGCGGGTGGAGTGCAGAGATGGGAAGCACCTGTACGCGCCTGCGAGGCCAGGGCCCAGGGGCGGCGCCCGGTGAGCGGCGGGACGGCAGGGGTGGGCACAGAGCGCTCCTGGCGCTCAGGAAGGACGCAGGGTGCCGGGGAGCTGGAGGGGCGAGCACGGGCGGGGCGGGGCTGCTCCACAGCGTGTTACGGAGGGCCCTGAGTGCCACCTCGAACAGCCAGGACTTCACGCAGGGGCCAGTGGGGACCCACTGCTGACATCGGTGAGGAGGGGAGGTGACCAGACCTGGGATTCTCAAAGACCAACCTGGCCATGCACCACCAGTGTGGGCTGCTGTCAGGACAGACTCAGGTGAGCCAGACCTGGGATTCTCAAAGACCAACCTGGCCATGCACCATCCAGTGTGGGCTGCTGTCAGGACAGACTCAGGTGAGGAGGGGAGGTGACCAGACCTGAGCTTCTCAAAGACCAACCTGGCCATGCACCATCCAGCGTGGGCTGCTGTCAGGACAGACTCAGGTGAGGAGAGGAGGTGACCAGACCTGAGCTTCTCAAAGACCAACCTGGCCATGCACCACCAGTGTGGGCTGCTGTCAGGACAGACTCAGGTGAGGAGGGGAGGTGACCAGACCTGGGATTCTCAAAGACCAACCTGGCCATGCACCATCCAGTGTGGGCTGCTGTCAGGACAGACTCAGGTGAGGAGAGGAGGTGACCAGACCTGGGATTCTCAAAGACCAACCTGGCCATGCACCATCCAGTGTGGGCTGCTGTCAGGACAGACTCAGGGGCCAGGCCTGGGGGCCCAGACCTCGGAGCTGCGTGGGGCGGAGGCAGCTGAGGTGTGTCACCAAGGCAGAGCAGCAGTGAGGGACAGAGGAGGGACCTGGTAATGAGCGGGACATGGGGTGGGAAAGGGGGATGGGCTCGGCACTTTGCACCTTTGCCCTGGTTGACGTACAGCCCCAGTGCCTTTGAGAGCAGCAAGAAGTCCACAGCTTACAATGGCCAAGAACATTGGCCTCAAACCACAAGCTGCTTTGTTCATGTTAAGGAAAACAACGGTAAAATCAGAAACTAGCCCAGAAGGCTGCCATCACCAGACTTTTCTATGAATAACCTGGAAGTGCTTGCTCATTCAAAGACAGGAAGCGGGTGTGGTGGCTCACGCCTGTAATCCCAGCACTCTGGGAGGCCGAGACAGGAGGATTACTTGAGCTCAGGAGTTTAAGACCAGCCTGAGCAAGAGTGAGACCCTGTCTCTACTAAAAATAGAAAGAAATTAACCAAACTAAAA